GATTGCTTTTGCGGCGTGGAGTGCTCGTTAGGCTGGGCATGGGGTGGTTTGGAGGGCTGATCACTCAACAATCTCAGAGGGACACTCGCTACCTGTACGACTACTGTGCAGCTGGAGCTAGACCAGAGTACGCGCAAGATGAAGTTGCCCTTAGAGTACAGCGGAGATTCGGATGTGGCTGTAGGCTCCTGGTTTGTTTGTTTTTTCTTCATATCACACAACAAATCCATCTCTATCTATAGAACAAGTCTAGGATAGAATAGCAATGAATCCATAGCGTGAGCGAAAGCTACCTGTATGTCTACGGTTTCCCAGACAGCATACAGCGATATCTCCCCGGTGGGTAACAGGCTCAACAAGGCAGTTTGGTAGCCATCTTGTGTATCTGTCTGCATGTTATGTTGGGAAGTTGTAGACGGAAGATTTAGGGGAACTCGGTTTGTCGGGTGTTCTATCATGTGGTTGCGGAGCAAGCGCGTCTCGGGGTGTGTATATTTTCGTCATCAACTTATTTTTTGTGTGTGATGTATGGGAGCATGTGCAGGACGGTGTTGTGTAATTGCACGTCATAAAATGTGCGAATGGCACGGGAGAACATTATCGCATCATTGCCTCCTGACGTGGCCGCCGATAGACTCGAGAGCCGTGTGGTTGAGGTTTCATGACCGACATGTGGGTGTGTGTTAAATGCAGTGGGTACGGTCACCTCTCTCGCCCGTGTGTCTGCAGAAAATATGGCTACCTTTCCCATTTGTAGACAGCGCGGACCATTAGTAAAGACAGAGCGTATCATTTCATGCATCTACATCAGTTGTATGTGGAAAGGGAGGAATGAGAGGTTGTTCAATTTTGACGGTGTGTGTATGGGTAGGGGGAGTACTCCCTGTATCCGTGTTGTTCCCAGATGTCTTCGCACCAAGTGGCAGCATGTGTCATGGACAGGTAGACGTGGAAGGGCAGCGACAGGTGAACGGCAGCAGCAGTATGTTGTGCATGGTGGCATGTTGGGCTTGTACAAAGACGCAGTCCATCTTCGACCACACACGAAGGAGTTTGTTCGTACCTGTCGGAGTTTTGGAGGGCCAGGGTCAGTCTCAAGCAGCAGTAGGAAGGAGCGAACAGGCGTAGTGCTTCTCTACAGCTTTAGACTCCGTCCTCCTCAAATCCTAACGGAGATGATTACGTATCGCACAACGGCTGGATCCGAATTGCCGGCTAGCTCCGAAAACCAGGAGAGGTGGGGGAGTAGCTCAGACGAATGGCTGTGTGTGCGCTTCTTCATGTGCATACTTGGCTGACTCTTTGAAGGGTAGAATTCTGGTTCAGTGGAATTTTGGCGGCTTTTCGGCATTTCCGGTACTTGCCGTTGTCACCTGGATGCATGGGACACGTAAATATGTCACTCTACTTGCAAGGGACACGTTGCGTTTTCAGTGTTCCCCCTTGCGGTTTCGCTTGAGAGCATTAGTAGATCAGGAAGGGTACGCAGGACCAACGTCACCCTTGTGGACCAAGAAGGTTGACAGTTGCTGCTTCATGCCTTGGTATTTTCTTGTATCGACAACAGTACTAGTGTTGCTCATGGTTGACAGCCGACAATATAGCAAATGATGTAAAAATACTGTAAGAACAAGAACGCCCCTTTCTGGAGAAGAATGGACGACGAAATATGAACTTGGCAAATAAGAACTGGTGCTCGGGTTGGGGCAGCCAATAAGAACTGAGCCTCGCCCAATATAGGAGGGCCGGCACTGTAGTCTATAGGCTGCTGTACAACCACAGCTGCTGCACAACCACAGTCTACGAAGCGACCGCTGCACATAGCACATACCCGCTGCTGCAGAGACGCTTCTCCCCGAGAACATCATGCATGTGAGCAACTAGGCCAAAACAAAAGCCCCGACGTGTAAACGAAACTAAAGTTATCCCTACTGCTCCATCATGTCAGAGGCATTGACGCTATCGATTCAGATGGTTTGCTCATGCTTTAGCGTAACAACGACTGGCTAGGGTCCAATTAGTTTCGTTCATTTCATGGTCCTTTCATGGTCAGTTTCATGATATCTTAGCATTTGAGCCAAGAGGGGGCTAGGCTAGCAAGGGGGGTCTAATGAAGGCGGATCTCGCCTTGATACCAACTCAAAGGGGGCTAATCAAGGTGGCTTTGACCCTACATCGACTCACAGTTTGATGTCTCTGTTAGCGTGGTCAAAGTTTCTTCCTTTCGAATCAGCCGTATTCAGTAAACACGAGAGGGACGGCGCCCTAGCGGGGCCCCGTCACTGATTCGGTACACCCAAAGGTATACCCTAGTCCTCCTCAAACCATCGCAAGATGGAATGAATCTCAGTATTTCGCGCCTGTTCATGCTACCGTGACAAGAGCCTCGGCAAGCAATACAGCAGTAGACTACAGTACATCCATCCCACATCATCGTAAGGGATGATGATGTTGGCGGACAAAATAGATTGTCCCCCTCGAACTTCAATGATCGAGTGGCCCCGAACTACTGCATCAATCCTCGCCCCTGTGAACGTTCGTTGTGGACGTTGGGGATCCACACCCTGTGACACCCTAAATGGGGTGCCACGGACTCGCCGCAACCAACCGTCAATCGGCTCGGTCAACGCCCACTCTCGGACGTCTGCTGCCTGGTTCAAACATGTCGGAACTCGAGCGAGCCTGAAATAAAATCTACATCGATCGATTTCAAGTACCGTTTGGCGAACCAACCACACAAACAACAACAAGCAATCGCGACGGGTCATATATATATGGGGCGTATCGTTCTCCCGCCGTTGGGGTCTGCACGCCACGCGCTGCCTGGCATTGTCAGCCAACGAAACACCGTCCAAGGCAAAAACGCTCTCTTTTGGCAGCAGCAGGTCAGGCATGCCTGAGGGTGGATTGATCAAAAAAGGGGACCCGAGAAAAAACTCAGACGTACAAGTGGTACACATGCATGCCCCCAATTGGCCGAAACAAGTAGTTACTATTACAATAACAGAGGAACCACTGCGCGCCGCCTACCTCAAGATACAACAGCACCAACGCGCTCAACGCACCGCCTGTTTTCGCCGGAGAGGACTCCTGAAACGAAAGAGAAAAAAAAAACGTCCGGAAGCTGCATCGCAACGAACATACGATCCGATGCCGCCCCTATCGGGGTCGAGATCATCATTTTATTCATGAGGACGTTCTCTTCTTCCCACGCCTAACCCGAAATAAACACAAGTACTACAGTAGTACCTGCATTCACTTTTACTTCCATTCTTTGGGGTTGTAATAATCATCCTCCTGTGGGAGTTCTTAATAAATTTTCTACAAAATTATTCGTTCCTCATCATTTCCATCAGATGTACTTAGGTTTTGTTCCTTACGAGCAGCTAGGCGCTAGACCGTAGACTAGATTATTTATCGTCAATAATACCGAAATTCCTGGCATATATATATGTGCGCGTTCATCTGTCCACGAAGAACACACGTTCTTCATCGGTTTGTTCTCCTTGTTCAAACTTGCGGGGGTAAGAAGCAGTTGCTTGTTTTCGACTACGATTTTCACCTCACTCACTCTTGCTGTAGATCCTTCTGCCGCCGTGTTCTCTTCCCCCACACTGTGCCCGTAGCACGCGTTGTGTGGAGAGTTATGCTTGATGCGGGTCGTCATGCTTAACGAATATGTTGCCGGAGCGACATACTCGTGTCTTGTGCTGTGCGTCTAACCACGAGGGATGGGAAGGGATTCCTGTTGAATTCGTCCATTTGCTCCAATGGCCGGGCCTGCGCCAGGACAGACTGCGCTCACCAACGGCATCACTCTACCACCACCTCTCATCGGAGATTTTCGCAAGAGGAGGAAACACCACCCAGTATCAGGACACTCCCGACGTGGCAAGAAGTTTGTTTTGTGTGGGCGACTCTGCCTGTGTGTACGATGCGCCTCCACGTGTTACTGTAAGGTAACGTAACCGGTGCATCATGAAGGACGCCCACAACGTCAAGGGCAAGTACGTGTCGTTTATCTACGCTCGCTTCGGACCGAGGTCGCCAAATACAAAGCGTCTGAAAGTTTCGGGCAAAACACATCTGCAGCAAGAGGAAGCGTGCTTCTTGCGTCCAAAATATCAACTTCGCGCGCTCGAGTAAGCGCTGATACTTAGGACCAAGGTTGTCAATACGAAGCATCTAACAGTTATGGGATCGACAGCGTCCCGGAAGTAATGCTGGTATGTGAATATTGCACCTTCATAGTCAAGGCTACAAAGAGAAGGCTCTGAACAACGCACGCCAACATCCTGAGTCCGATGCACACAGGTCGGACGGCGGGACACTCTGGTCCCGCCTCCCGGCCGGGCGGGCCCGTTCTGCCTCGGTATTACCTGCGAGTCAACAAACGGCGTGTGACCATGGCCCACATCCTTGCCACGTGAGACCACGACGTGCACAAATTGAGGAATTTCCATTGTCTTGTCCTTTTCCGCAGGAAATCGTCCCGTAGAGGGGAAACACTCACGACTAATCATCATCGAACGCAAGGCTGGACACATACACGGAGGGAAACAAACAGAATATGAGTCCTGCATCCACGACAAAACAGGAAGCGAAGGACTACAATTGACCACGGGCCTATCTTGAATACCCCGACGAACCCAGCAGTTTCGCTCAAACATCCAACTACGGCGCTGTCTAGTCAACAATCGTCAACAATCAAGACCTCAAGAACCGCTTCGTAAAAGGGTTGCGTAAACGTTTGTTTCTCTAACCCCGAGAAAAATCTAGGAAAGACACTCGTATTGGGGAGCTAAGGTGCATCGGGGGCACGTGCAGCACACCACAACACCCGCTCCACCAACCAACACAAAAAGGTCAGCCCTTCTAGTCAAAACCTACGGGGAACGCTTCGCTACGTCAGGGAACGTAAAAGTGGGTGGGTGGGTGGTTTAGTTGAAGGTGTACCCCGCGCCGAGGAGGTCGTTGATCACGTACGGCTTGTTGTTCAGCTCCTCGTGTACCATCAGAGCCAGGATGCCCATCTGTGCCGCGCGCCCGTTGTTCAGCTCGATCGCGCGCTTCGACGCCTGGGTCTCCTCCGACATCGCGTCCCACGAGGAGGCGAACGGGTTGCCGCCGTTCGTGAAGTCTCCGGGGAAGGAGCCCTCCACGTTCTTCATCACAGCCAGCTCAAGGAAGCCCACAAACGCGAAGATCTGCGCGAGGCCCGCCGGGGGGATCTTCGACAGAGCGGCCACGCCGTTTGGCATGTCCGCGAACGACAGGTTCGCCGAGTTCGACAGCATGCCGGGGAGGCGGACGTTCTGCTGGGTCAGGTGACCGGCGATGGCGAGCATAGCGATGCGCCCGTGCTTCACCTCCACGTACCGGAGGCGCTCGAACCGCTCCTGGTCCGCGTCGGCGAGGAGGCCGAGCGGGTCCCAGAATCCGAGGGGGGGCTGCGCGCCGATCTCCGACTCGAACGACATCTTCATGGCGGAGGACGACTTGGCCGGGGTGGCGACGGCGGCGCCGTTGAACGCGCTGGAGAAATTTGGTGTGGGTCCGGCAATCATGGGGGGAAGGAGGGGAAACAGGGACAGGGATTGGTTTCTGGAAACCACTTTCAAGCGGATTGACAAGCTGAGAGCAGGCACTGGCGGAACATTTCCACGACTCCCTCTCGACAAGTTCAAGAATGTTTCCCGACGACCTGACGTCCAGTATCGAAGGGACCAGCAATCGTGCCGGAAACGCGTTATGCACAAGGCCCTGTGTGGCGACGTTTTCACGTCTTCCGTTGTGGGGAACGACATGCTTCGTCATGGGACAGGAGTAACCATCCATTTTTTCCTCTTTGTAGTACAGCACAACGAATCCATCATTATCTATGGAAAAGAAAGAGCCTAAGCCAGACTAGAAATGCATTCATCGCGTCAGCGGAAGCCACCTGTACTTGTACGGAAGCCCCGAGCAGCATACAGTGATATCTCCGCTGTGGGAAACAGCCTCAGCGAGACAGTTTCGTAGTCGTCGTGTATCTCTCTTCATCTGTATGCTATGCTGGGGAGGTGCGGAAGGAAGATATTGGGATCATTTTGGTTTTTCGGGCATGCTCACCCCTGGACCCATTTTCAGAGCTTTATTACGCCACGACCAAGCGGATGGATTATCGAAACGGTACACTTGCGGAAAGCTCTCGACGAGACGGCTTCGACGCCACTGTATAGGTGCTAATTTCTTTATGCTGTTGATAAACCGAGCGTTGAAAATCGGTCGAAGGGGTGCGTTATCTTGTGCCGTGTACATGTAGTTTACATGAAATACCAGCGAGGTGCTCCTGTTCGCGAAATCCGCGCGAAACCAGAGATCAACAACAGCTGACGTGTACGTTGGGGGACTCAAGAGTTTAGCGGAATAAACGGAGCCTCGGGAATCTTCGAACCCGCGAGCGCCGGACAGCAGTGTGCAACAGCCTTCCCTATCTCAGAGCAATGAATCTCGGGTCGCTGTGGCGAGACAGCGTCGTGTGTTGCAACGAGCGAAGTGTACGAGTGAGCATGTACTCACATGAAGATGATGGATTCTCTGTCAAGATTATTTAGTTGAATCAACTCGCTGTCCCCACACCCTACGCACCGAGACGCTGCTACCGAGCCGCTGCTAGAAAAAGCGCGTGGGATAGAACGAAGGATAGAACACAAGTACAGAGGTGGTTCTTTCGATGCAAGAGACTCACAGGACGGCTCAAAGAACGAACTAGTAGTCTGGTGGAGGCTACGAACTTTTCTGAATATGGAACTCTTGACACTTGAAGCGGGGTCTCCGGAACACCGAGAGAGAGGCTTGGGTGATGGGACAGACGAAGAGCGCATGCGATAGAATCATAGTAACACCGTCCGTGACCTGCAAACGGGCGCATGATCACGTTGACTTGGATGTGTATGTGCAAGTACCAAGACAGAGGATGAAATCACAGCAACCCAGCGCATGCGATCAAGCAACCTGCAACAGCTGTTCTCACCTGGGTGCCACGAAGGCTTGGGCTCCGGCCACACAGGCAGCGACTACAACGCAGGACTTCATCTTGGCGTGAGGTGGTGGTGTGCTAAGAGAANGGAACGAAGGGTAGAACACAAGTACAGAGGTGGTTCTTTCGAAGCAAGAGACTCAGAGGACGGCTCAAAGAACGAACTAGCAGTCTAGACTAGTGGAGGCTACGAACTTTTCTGAACATGGAACTCTGACACTTGAAGCGGGGTCTCCGGAACACCAAGAGAGAGGCTTGGGTGATGGGACAGACGAAGAGCGCATGCGATAGAATCATAGTAACACCGTCCGTGACCTGCAAACGGGCGCATGATCTGACTTGGATGTGTATGTGCAAGTACCAAGACAGAGGATGAAATCACAGCAACCCAGCGCATGCGATCAAGCAACCTGCAACAGCTGTTCTCACCTGGGTGCCACGAAGGCTTGGGCTCCGGCCACGCAGGCAGCNATGGTGTTGAGAGATGAGTTGGGCGAAAACGGAGTGAACGAACATGGCGGGGGCAGTAATTATGTATGTGACTTCTGCCACACAGCATTCCTTTGGCTCTCAGAGCAAACAGTGTGCCCGCGGTTTGCAGCAGTCTACATGAGAGCGCAGCACAGTGGTGCAGCACCGCCGTTGTTAGAACAGCAGTCCTGACTAGCACGCTGGCATCACCCGTCGGTTTTTCTTTGCTCCTTGTACGCGACAGCTCGCGGTCAGGTCGGACGTTGCCGTCATATGTACACATTGTCGGTGCGAAGCACAATGTTATTGGCGCTTCGCGCCACTGCCCTTAATGAGCAACTCCAAGCCAACGGTCACCATATGCAAGAGGCTGCTGCGAACTAATGAAACGGCAGTTTGACGTGGATTAGGTTAGCCATAATGCAGTGCCCCATTCACGTGTAAACTGGATCTACAGAAGCTTTACCTCACCTGCTCAAGACCACCGGCTAAGACTCAGGAGTAGATGTCCTCCGTATTACTCCTCACGAGGGCTCCACGCACCCACGCAAGCGCTCCGATAGCCCTTCGTCAGTTAGCTCAGGTTAGCTCAGGTCACGATATCAGCTCAGTTTAGCATGCACTTCAGGCTTTCAGATCCTTTCGGTTTCTCAGGGCCATGTCCAATGACACGTGGCTTGCCTGGGAGACGGGGCCCTGCCATTGGGAACCACCTCCCTGCCAACGGTTCCAAGATTGGATCACCGCGCCCTCCACGCCTCATCTACACCGCAAAGTCTAGGCGCTTCGCAGTATTCATCCCTCGCCGGGGCAGACGCCGCTACACTAGAATTCTTCAACGGCATCCTTCGTTCCAACTATCCTTGTGTGGTTCGTGAGTACAGATAGCGCCCGCAGTTAAGAAACGTCAAAATCGGGTCGACCCTCAATCCCTTATTTTGGGTCGAAGGACCGGCCCAACCAAGTCGTACATTACCTGAAATGGCATTTCTTATTCCTTTGGACTGTCGCATCTTCCCGATTGTCGTATGGCTCAAAAAAGTCTTCCCTAGTCCATCTATCCGAACGATATCATTTCCCGCCTTTTCAAACCACTTCCTATTTCCCAGTACCGTCCTCTCCTCTCTATCCCATGCCTCAAACATCTCCATGTACCTCCCCTCTATTTTCAGTCATGGACACTTTCCTCTCCTTTTCGTACAACTGACATTCCGCGACTACATGAACCCCGACTTCGCATTCATTATTCGAAGCCGCAATCACATCTGAACTTGTCGTCTTCGTCGTCTACCGTCCTAGTATAATATCTTCGTCGACGTTCTCGAAGGCCTATATCTATCCCGGTTTCTGAGTTTGACCCTAAGCTTTGTCCCTGCATCCATTTTGGTTTATTTAGTAGGTAATCCTTGAACCCTATTCCTGCTTTCAACATTCCGTACACTTTGAGACCCTCCTCATCCTCGGGCGGGGTTATTTGGCGGGGGGGGGGGG